GGCGGCTGCTGGCTCTGGGTGCCTGCAGAGTGACGTGGAGAGGAGGATGCTTCGAAGGCCAAAAAAAAAAAAATCCCGAAAACTCTGTGGTGTCTACAACCAGGGTATTTCTGAGCAGCAGCCTGCTGGGGCATGGCCGTAGTTGGGGGCCTCGGGGACCAGAGCAGCGGTGGCTCCCTGGGGCTGCGGGCTGTGCCCAAGGCTTTCGGGAGCCGGGAGCCAGGGTCACGCACAGGGATCGGCCAGGGGTTGCAGCTCTGCTGTCAGCTCCCGCCCAGCCCTGCCCGCAGCGCTGGGCAAGAGCCCGGGAGAGTGACCTACATAGGGGAAAAAAAAACCAGATGGGAGCCGGGCGTTGATCTCGCTGCTTTGGGAAGAATACAGAGGCATGAAAGCATTCGTTTAACGAGGAATAAACTCGTGGAAAATAATTTCTGCATCAGCGGGAATGCCAGATCTTTTTTTTCCTCTTTTTGTCTGCTTTCTGGCAAGACCACAGCTCTGTGGAGTGGAAATACTGCCAGGTCTTCGCTGCAAATTGTAGTGGTTGGATCTTAAACAGGTTGCTGTTGGGAAGGATGCATCGTGCCAGATGTGACAGCCCTGAGAGGGGCTGCTGCAGCCCCGTGTCCTCAGCTCCAACCAGTTGAGTAGCCAGGCTGAGCTTGTATTCCCAGTAGGCACCCACACATAAGAACACAGACCCCCCACATACACACACAGGTGCCCACACAGAGCACGCACATGAACACAGCACCGGCAGCCTCATCCCACCCCTCCTCTGGCTGAGCAGGATGGAGGTGTGCTAGTGAGCATGCATATATATATATGTGTGTGTATTTTATATATATACATATACACATGTCTATAGTGTGGCTCAGGCAGTCTGCCCAGTACCTGCCTTTTGATCCCAGCCTCTCCAGTCCATCTGGTCCCCCAGTAGCCAACTCCCTCATGGTGCTCAGGGCCCCCAGCCTCTTTGGCAGCTGCTGGGACTCCCCCAGTCCCCCTGGCAGCCATCTCCTCCCTTGCGGAGCCCTCCCAGCCCCCAGGCCCCCTCACAGGCTGGTCTGGCTGCACTCTCGCTGCTGCTCACATACTTGCCCACAGGCCTTGAGTCCCAGCCACTGGCACCCAGATCTCCCCCACCCCAGGCACATGGTAATGAGAGTCCCTAACCCAGTGCAAGGTGCAAAAGGAGTTCAATGAGGAGACGGGACAGGGTGCGCTGATCAGGTACAGGGCATGGCCAAAGCATCCTCCCCTAAACATCCCCTAATGAGTCATGTGCAACCCCCAAATGCTCTTCTCCTGCATCCCACCCCGTGTCCCACACCCCCAAATGCAGTGACCCCACCCAGCCTAAAGCTGCTCTGGGCCTGAGGCTCCCCTGGACAGCCCTGTTCCCGCCTGCCATCGAGCCCCTGTGCTCCTTGGGGTGTGAGGAGATGGGTGTTTGGTGGGCTGAGAGCTCCTGGGATGGGCCTGGGAGCAGCCCAGCAGGGTGCTCTTTGGGCTCCCCCTCCCGACACCATCTGCCTGGGCTCCTTGGTGGTTATGCAGGCGAGATTCAGTTGCATAATTGCCTTCGTGATCAGTATAGTTAGGTTTAGGGATCTTTATATATATTTTTATATATATATATTTAAAAACCACCTAAATAAAATTTGTCTCTCTTAAAGATTTGGGTTTCCTTGTATATATTTGCTTGTTTCTTATAAGTTCTTTAGTCATCTACAAACAGGGCAATTGAGACATATGTTCCTGTGGTAAGACTACATAAAACATGTGCATAGAGGCACACACGACTTCTACCACACGGTTCTTCAGCATAAAGGGATGAGGGACAGGAAGAAAAGCATGCTGTGGCTTTTGCTGCAGCGCCAATGTGCTGAAGGGCTCCTTAAAGTCTTGAAAAGCAAACGCAAGAGGAGCTGGAGTGCTTTATGTGTAGAGGGTTTATCTTGCAGGGGATATAGCGGAAAGCCACATCGTATGCAGGTTAATCGCCAGGGAGTGAACAGATGGGGTGAGAGTAGCACAGGAGAAGAGGTCAGGGCTGGGGAGTCAAGCGGGATGAGGCAGGGGACATGGGCGGCCCTGTGCACAGAGGGGTGCTTTGCAGGAGGGCTGATGGCTGGCACACGTTGCGAGAGTGAGCCTTCTGTCTGACGGTCGTGTCCAGCTCAGCTTGAACCAGCTTATCTAACACTGGCGTTGCCCAGGGGCTGCGAAGGAGCAAAGTGCACTGGAGGGAAAAGGGAGCAGGGCCTTGGACTTTGGTACTAACTGCAAAACCCTGGCGGCCGTCAGCTCCGAGCAGCACTCCTGGCCGGTAAACACCCGGCTCTGCTCGGCAGCTGGTGGGGGCACAGCCACCCAGGTGCCCTCGCGTGCCCAAGCTGGGCAGGCACCGATGGCACCTGCGGGGCACTGGCAGCCTCAGCCCTCCCCGGCTCCCCAGCCGGGAGGAGGGGGCTGAAGTGGCATCACCCGCAAGCGGGTCGGAACACCATACCCCAAAAGCCACTGCCTGGCACCTGGGAGATCATGTTGTGGGAGGTTTCATGCAAAGCCTGAGCCTAATTCTGTTCAATGTGTTAATTAAACATCTACCAGAGGGAATGTCTTTCCTCAGAGATATTTACCACCTGAGTGAGCACCACCCTGTGCAGCCCAGCCCAACTTTGAAGCTGGCCCCATTTGGGGCTGAGGGGTGGGCAGGATGACCTCCAGTGGTCCCTTCCCACTGAAATTATCCTTCAGTTCTCTGGATACGCTCCTAATAATTGCAGATGTTACCCAGCTAGGAAGAGCCAGGAGCACTTGGGAAGGTAAAGCAAGATCACAAAGTCGTTCTGACGAAGGGGAGACATGCTCTTGGGTTTTCCACATGGAATTTAATACCAAAAATGACGAGCTATTGCAGCCGGAGCAGCAAACTAATGCAAGCGGTCAGCTGGGAGGAGCGCTGCCAGCAGGATGATGAAAAAAAGAAACCACGGGGAGCTGGGATGGCCGATGCATCAGCAGCGCCCATGTTGCTGCAGGAAATCGAGCGTTTGCTGCAGGACGCGCTGACCAGCATGGCGCCTGTGAAACGCAACAGTCTCTTTTTTTTTG